AAAAAAAAATGGATGAAAGCAGACTGAGTGGAGAGGAAGAAGCTCCACGGAGAGTAAGCATTTTTTTACCATAGCTAACAATTTAAATCAAACTATTTTATCTTGATTTGCAGCAGCTACACGTCTTTGGCCGTGACGTTTCGCAGATTCCCTGCTTTCGTAATAGCTTTCTATACGGGATTGGTGGAGGAGTAGCGATAGGTGTAGCTACATTCCTTGGCACGTCCCGCACTCGACTTTCGACGCATGTTGGTTTTGGCTGCTTTTTTACTGGCACACTTACCTATTGGCTGGTTTGCAGGTATGTATGGCTAAACTTTATTTAATTCAGCTCATCGCATGCAATTTACTCACATATCCCCTTGAAGGTATCAGTGGTCAAAAAAGCGCTTTGAGTATCAACAATTACAGGAAGCTATGCGGAAGCAGAGTCTATACGAGGGCACCGATCTTGAGCGACAAATATTGGAAGATGCCTAAGTTTTACGTTTAGCTATATTGGTCTTGACTCTAGAAAGCTATGCTGGGCTATCGCTGAATACATCGTAGTCCGATTTTCGCGAAATATACAAAAATGCGATCACAGTCCGAAATCCTACGAACGTAGCATTCAAATTATTTGCTACGTTCGTAGTACTCGCGTTCAGTGATAACATTTTCGTAAATTTTACGAAAAATCGGACTACGATGGATCCAGTGATTGCCCTGACTATGTGCAAATATGTATACGTACATCCATATACATACATATAATATTTAAGAAAATTGTTGTTTATTGTTCGTGCCTACACTGTACATACGGCTTGTGATTAAGCCCCATTAAAAATTTAGTTTTAAAACAGAAATCTTTTAAATGTACTCCACAGATGCCTACCATAAACTCGGACAGAATAGGTGCGAAGAATATTGGGTTTGAAAATGCTGAACATTTTAGACAATTATGTATTATACTAACACACTTGAAATCTGCTAAAACGTAATCCATGTTAAGTACGATCGTCAGAAGATACCTTATAATTTATTCGGCCTTATCGCGAATTTCATGTTAACAAATATTCCTAAAAATTTCCCAATTTGTATTTTGCCTGTTAAATTATGGGTACGATTTATTCACATGCAGTTGGCTATGAGGCTGATTGTTTAATGGAGGAAATCTATTTTGTATGAAATTTAACGTGTTAGGAAGTATTTCGCGAGTGGCATGGCTGAAAAAATCTTTGTCAGGATATTTTTACAAGCTTTTACTTAACTTGCTTGAAACTTCACAGTTGGCTTAGAACCCCATTACAATGCAATACGAAAGAAGAATTAATGCAATAGATGACGCAGGAGTCGGGATGTTTGAAAATGAAGAAATTATGTACCAATCGAAAGTTTTAAGCTTATAGAACGTGAAAACGTTGGGTTGTCTATTTCTTCCTGACTTACCTATAGGGTTAGCAGGTGTGAACAGGTAAGTGATAGTAGTAATTTTCACTCATCTGTTTGATACATTCTATAGGCTTTATGCTAACGATTAGTATATCGCTAGCTTAGAGTGAAAAGTTGTCAAGTCCCATTTTAAATATTTTGCAGGAGAGGAAAAAAGTTTTTATATTTAGCTATTGTCTTCAAGTATTTCGCAAAGCTTTGAATAAACCTTTTTCATTTTTAAAGCAAACCAAAACTCCATAAAAATTAGAGGGATTCGAGCTTTATTAAAAAATTTCGTTCTACTTTGGCTTAATTAACTTTCGCTGCTACTTTTTGACTTATAAAATTTTCCTTTCATTGATTATAAATGAGAATAAATGAAACAAAAGACTTGTATCCTTTACAAAGCAATGCATTTTTTATTTCTCTTGATTACTATATCAAAATATGAGCTCTCATAAAAAGTGGACTTGGTTCATTTCACTCCAAGCTAGCGATATACATATGTAATTTGTTCATTAAACAAATGAGTGCAAAATTGAAAAAAAAAAATTATTTTTGAATATTTAATTAAAAATATCCTGGACAGTGTTTTCTAGCCAACCCACTCGCGAAATATTTCCTAACACGTTAGATTTCGGACAAAATAGATTTCATCCATTAAACCAGATGAGTGAAGGTCGTGCCTTATTGGGATCTCCTACTAATTTCAAATCGGCGCGATTTGTAAAACTTATTTTGGATATTTAAAAACGGCTAACAATTGGCACTAAACCGATGGACACGATGTAAATTCGACAACGACAACAACAACACAATGTAAATAACGTGTTTCTAGCAGTTTTCCATTTGAAATATTTACGTGGGATATCAGTCAATTTATTTACACTCTTGGAAACGAATACTGAGTCTTCCTATAGCGCCTTACTAAAAAATCTTTGTTATGGTATATTCTTCCTTAACGGAATGACATGAACTGGTAGATTGCATACCAAAAGAATATATCGAAGGCGCAATTTGACAAATTTGAAATTTTACAAGGGAATAAAAAACTAACATGGAAAATGCAAGCAGAGCTATTTAAGGATGCTAATAAACCTTGTATTTTTTAAGATATGTCAGATTTCAATCATTTTCAACGTTTTTCATTTATGTGCCAAGCACAATAACCATACCGAGTTTGGTACAAATTGGTATAACGCCTACCGAGATACATATATGTGAGCATAAGTGGGCGGTGCCACGCCCACTTTCCAAAAATTTATAATATTCTTATTTTTCGTCTGAAAATTATTGTAAATATCAAGTTTGAGTGAATAATCGTCAGTAGTTACTAAAATATCGCAGTTTTCGTATTTCTGAAAATTACCGTTATATGGGAAGTGAGCATGGTTCCAGTCCGATTTCGCCCATTTTCAATACCAACCTACCTTGGATAAATGGAAGCCTACAATACCAAATTTCGTTGAGATATCTCAATTTTTGCTCGAGTTATCGTGTACACAGGACGGACGGACAGACTGGACAGACGGACAGACAGACATGGCTTAATCGACTTCTCTATTCATTCTGAGCTTTATGTATACATTTGTCTATATCTATCTCTATTCGTTTTGGCTGTTACAAACAACCGTTATGGTTGAACAGGTAGGGCTTTTTTAAAAATTGGCTCTAACTCCGTGTTTTTGGTACTAACACCTTAAAATTGTTATTTAATGTGTATTTTAATGCATCCTACCAAAATGGTTTGTTAGGGCCTTTGTGAATGAAGGTAACTATAAACTCCTATAGTAAAAATGAATACATATTTTGCCTTATCCTGAGTTTCGCCTAAAAACAAAATCGCCCGAAAATTTGTCATCCGCCCATGGAAACCAAGGCTGCATCAGCCTTATTCATGAGTTTAATTTTCCCCGAACCGGGTCATTTTTCTTTTTGCATTTCCGTGTATTCATTATGGACGAATGAAAGGTTTTCGTGTGAATTTGTTTTCGGGCGAAAATCAGGCTAAGGCTGATTTTGTTCTACTGAGCTACTAGTAATTGATACAGCTATGAAATTTTTTAACAGATAGAGAAAGAGGTAGCGGTAATTTCTGCGTACTTAACTCAATCTTTCAATTTTTTGGATTAAACACTATCGAAGTAAATGACGAAAACAGCGATATGTACATATGTACAATATCACAATTAGTTTTTTTTATTAGCTAAGTATATCGTCGTTCAAAGTACAAAACCGCGTAACTGACATTTGCTGCCAAAAATTGGATTTAGCCACAAAGCTCTTGGTTCAATCCTTATCCATTCGTCCTGAAATATACTAGCCAGAAATGCGATTGGTTCATAAAACAGACAACCATTTTGAAATATGAGTGTTTTTAGGCTTAGAAAAAAATTTATGCAACCTCACATACGCGGTTTTGCATTATCTTGATACGCGGTTTTGTACTTAAACGACGATATGTATGTATAACATTTTCCAACCCCTTAAATTTTAAATACTGCAAAAAGCTTTTCTTGTACAAAAATTATTATTGACTGTACACTGTACACTGTTCCTGCTTTAATACTTTAATATGTAAATGTGTATGATATTGTTATTAATACCACAGCGACGGTTTTGCTACCGGCTTCTCCTGCATTTCAAATTAAATTTGAAAAAATATAGTGCAATTTCTGAATTTAATTAGAAAATTTCAAACTTTTCCAATTTCACAGCGCTGCCACCAACTGTTGCACCAACTGTTTAAGTTTCGGCATAGCAAGAGGTTGCTTATCAGCCGGTCATCGACGTGTCGCTCTTGTATTGATATTTATGCAAATGAGAATTGGAGCTTTTCATTTTACTAAATATCAACTGTTGAATTTGCGATTTGAATGAACTGAGCAATTGCACATTGGTAAGAGTTTCTAACAATAGTTGCGTTCCAGATGCTTCACGATTTGCAGGTTTTATGGAAGGTGGTTACTTGGGACGGCTTCCTGTAAAAACCTGCAAATCGTGAAGCATCTGGAACGCAACTAATGTGAGTGCATAAAGTTGTTGAGATGTAGAAAGCCAATTGTTTTTCTTGAGATCCTCAAAATAAATTTAAAATTGTTTCAGTTAGGGGCTATTTATATTTTTTAAACGATCTTTTTTACCTCATACTTACAAAATACTAAAACAAATAAAAATGCAAAAAAAAAAAACGTTTTGTTATTGTTATTTTATGTCCAAAAGTAGTTAGTTACAAGTTAGTTGACATACATATAAGTGCCGAGGTATCCAGGTCTAAGTTCTTTGCAGACATCGCCCCACAAAAGTAGTTGGCTTTTTTGTAACAAAATATGTAAATAGTAGGGCTGTGCGATTATTCGAGTACTCGAGCAAGTTGGTTAATCAATTATTCGGTTAATCAATTACTCGAGTAATCAAGATTTTGATTACTCAAAACGATGATTAATCGAGTTACTTGAAATATGATTACTCAAAAAAAAATAATTTTGCTCGTTAAAAGAGTTTGCTTTGGAAAATGCTTATTTTCTTTTTTACATTCTGTATATGAAAAAAATTTTTTGTTTTAATTTTAACTTTAGCTACTATATGCATATGTAAAGAGTTGAAATGTTGATTACTCATTTTACTCGAAATGTTGATTAATCATAAAGCAAATTACTCAAATATTTTTGTTTTTGGTTAATCAAAAATCTTGATTACTCGAGTAACTGAACTTTTGAGTCATCATAATTTCCAATTAATCGAATATTTGAGTTATTTACTTTATGATTAATTAAAATTTTGAGTAATCAATTAATCGCACAGCCCTAGTAAATAGTTAATAGTTAGCATTAATAATAATAATAATAAATAGATTGGCGCTTACACATATGTTAGTGTTTGGCCGAGCTTTTCCTTCGACTTTTGGCGTGCGCCTTGATGTTGTATTTAATGTTCGGCTCCGCCAGAACTTAGGCTTTCTTACTTGTTTTTTACTCATTGACAGTTTCAGTTCAGCCTCTGCTGAATGCATTTCTAAAAGCTGTATGGGAATGCTTTTAGTTTTGAATCACATTGATTGATGATGATGATTAAAAATAAGTTTATTTCAAATTCATTTGTAATGGAATTTGTCTGTCAATCCCGCCAAAGAAAAGTTTTCTTCCCTGATTTTCGTTCCTAAAATTTTCAGAACAACATTTACTTTAATTAAACATTGCTTAAACTGTATTGTCTTCTCTAGAGGTTCTTTTCAATATACTTACGTCTGGTTTGATAGTAGTAAACGAATTTTCTTTTACGCAAGTTCTTGCTTCGCATAGCAAGGATACACTTTAAAATCCTGTTTGTACGAGTAGGCAAAAAACCAGCCGTAGGTAAGTAACTAGTTTAGGGTGTAAAAAGCTAAGAAACGCCAACAGATGGCAAAAGTTTAACAGCTTAAGTAAGTGCCTTTTTAAAAGATTTACTGTTATGTACACACAAGCAAAAGTAAAGAAATACCCTGCAGAAAAAAATTATCAATTGATTAAAAATAAACCTCTTTTTGTTAGCTTTTTTGTGGGTTTTTGGATAAAATATATAACTTTTAGTTAAACGATAATTTGAAACTAGTCGATGCATGGGTAAGGCAGACGCAATCGGAAGTTTTTTTTTTCTTTAAACAAGCTTGTATTTAAATATACTCATACAAATTTTACTTTGAAAATCCAGGACAACTAAAATGAAGTTTGAAGTTTTAAAAAGGGGCAGCCTACTGCAGCAGTAAAAAAAAAAAAAAATTTTGTGGTTTACGTATTGATATTTTATGTCCAAAAGTAGTTGGTTACAAGTTAGTTGCCATCTAATGTAGAGATAACCATACCCTTGACTATTTCGCGGCCTTCGTCGTAGTTGGCTTACCTCAAAGAAAATATGCAGATAATCGTATCCCTTCCCAAGCAACTTCAAGTTAACTTATGGTTAGGCTTTGTGTCAATTGGTAACTCTTTTCTCCGTGGTCAGACGGGGTGGCAAAATTTTCTATGGTGTACAAATGCAAAGTAAAATTTTGACAGTTGGAAAACCAAACAAACGCTCGTGCGAAACCTCTATTTTTGTGCGTTTAAAGAAATTTATAAAATTTATATCTAGTTATTTTATAACTTGCGAATAATTTATTTATTTTTTTTCGCTTTCGTTTTGATTTGCA